AAGGGGTGATTTGTAAAGAATATGGTTTGAACAGATAAGAAAATTCCAAAAATTCAGCAGGTGGCCAAGTTAACTAGTTGTAGAGCAAGCTTGGGGAAAAGAGATAAAGTGAGGCTTGTCAGGGAGGGAGGAGTATAAGATAAATGATCTGTTTGACATTTATTACAGTATAGTTAAAAGTGATAAGCATAAAGGAGAGTAATATGACACATTTTATAGGAATGCATTCATTTTCAGTCCCAACACCTACAAGTTTAAAGATGGAGGACTGAAAAAGATATTTAAAGAAATGAAATTTGAGTCCACTATAACCGAGTTTCCAAGTTCTAAGCTGTTCACTATAAGCGTTAAAAATAACATTATTTAAATAGGAATACGGTCGGGATCGCTAAAAAAGTTCACTACATCCGAGTGTTCACTATATCCCAGGTTCACTATAGCTATAACACATATCCCATTAACATTAAATTATTATTTAACTTTAGATTTAGATTATAAAATTCTATATAACACAAAAATCGTTTTTTTAATTTTATTTTTAAGTAAATTAACCTTCTTGACAAAAAAATTAACCTTTGTGAATTGCATTAAATTTTTTAAGTTTTAATATAAACCATTCTTTAAAAACTATTGCTAAGTGATAATACTGATTATCTTTAGTCTATTAAATTTTGTCTCGTTTCTTCGATTTCTTCCAAAGTCTGGAAAAAATGCAAAACCTAGAGAGACTCGCTGCAAGCCATTATGAATGATTGAGGGGTACTTACGGAAGTTGTTCCAGAACATAAAGTAAACCATCTTGTAAAGGACTTCCAGGTTTAAATTTGTTATAATCTACGACCATCCACTGATTATTATAACTAAAATAAAAAGCTGGAGTCAAAGAACAAATTAACCAAACTATTATTATAATGATGATCCAATTTATTAAAATTAAATATGTAGCAAATTATTCAGAAAAATAACAGAAAAGTTCTTAAAATGAATTTGGTGAATTAACTTAATATATATTTTATTACGTAAATTTTATTCAGATAAATTAAATTAGTTATACATTTGTTTAAGTAAATTTACTAAAACTACATTTGATAATTTAATTAATAATTTAATTTTAAATTAATCAAGAGCAGCATAAATGCAGTGATACTTTAACTTGACACAAAGATTCTATTATTTCCCTCATATATTATTCATGTTTATCATTGTAAATTCTCATCTTCTTTTGTTTTCAAACTGGAAATTGTTTTGTATCCTTTTGTTGATCAATAAATTTTCACCCCGGATGCCCCCGCTAGGGGGCGGGACGTGGATTCATAATAAAAATAAAGATTCATAAAAATTTTTTAAAAAGTTGCAAAACAACCTTCTTAAATTAAAATACATTTTCAATCGTCAAAATACTATGAATTTTTGAAATTGCACAAGCTCATTTTTATAATCACTATTTCAAATTATCAAACATGTATGACAACATGATAACATTTTCCTAAATTCTAAATATTTAGTAGCAATTGAAATATTATTTATAAAAAACAAATTTATTTAAAATTGCTCTAATTTTCATTTACGTATTTAAAATTCTACATAAATATCGGATTTACAATACTCAATATTAAGTAAAAATATGGTCAAAAGCATTTAACCCAAAGCTAGAGATAATCTAACCCAAAGCTAGAGATAGAAAAATTTGTCAGGATTATTTGTGATCTTAATAAATTTAAAACAGTCAATTTTTTTCCTACATTATGTTATTTCCTATCTTATATTTAAATCCAGTTACAAAACCAGCTAATATGAATAGAAATATTTTATGCAAATTAAAATCTTAACAAAGTAAATCTATACAGTAAAAAAAAGAAATTAATAATTTAAATAGGAACCAAGTTTTTTTTAAAAAATAAACAAGAAAAATATTTCTAAAAATATGCTGTGGGAAAAAAGACTGTTAATTCAAAACACTGCTGTAAATTTAAATCCTCTATTCCGCTCACCAACCTCTGGGCTTCTAATTCATTTTTTTTTTTATTCTTCTTAAAAGGAAATAAAGAAATTCATTGTATTTGTAAAATATATAATTTCATGTGAGCAGATTTTATTAATATGTTAATTATAAATTAGGCAGATACCTAGATTTGAATAATAATTAACCGTACTTTTTAATATGAATTTTAAGATTTATCTGGCAACATTTAATATCTTACTCCCTTATTTTTTGTTACTTCTGACACCAAGTCAATCGCAAGCTTACAAAACAAAAAACCTCAAGACATAAATTTTTCTATAATAGATAAATAGTTACTATTTAAAGAAAAAAAAACTTAATATTACAATAATTTTCGTGCGCGTGAACAAACTAGAAAATTTTTCGTAAAAAAAAAAAAAAAACTTGTTTATAAATGAAAAAGAGCACACCAAATTTCAACTTTGTAATTGCATTTCTTTGGATTGAAGTCTGGTATTCTTTATAACAAGTTTTCCAGTTAATAATTCTAGAATTAATTATCAAACATTATTTTTTTTTATTCCTCTGTACACCTTGCACCGGTTTCTAAGTTTTTGGGCATCAAGACAAAATGTAACATAGATTTGAACACCAAAAACAGCCATTGTGCCTACAATTTTTCAATAAACAGAGATTATATATTTACTAACGTTCCACTATTTAAAATGCCGAACAATGTCACCCATTGTTTTCCAGTTTTGGCCAATCTATTAGCAATGATGTTTCTTTGCCATTCCAATATAGTTTGTGGAACAACATATTTCCACAAGGAATCATTTCCATTGCCAAACGTAGTTTCTATGGCAACCTAGAAATGAAAATAAGATACACTCACTCAGAGGAACCAGTCAAATATAAATTAATTACACATATATTAAAATTATACTAAGTTCATATATGAGAGTACTAAATATGCACACTAGTGTACTGCTACAATATTATGTTCAATGTATTAACTTCATTATATCCTTAAATAAAAAAGCTAAAATGAAATTCATTTAAACAAAAAGAAAAAAAATTATCATACAATAATATTGCTCTTTAAAAAATAAGTTTTAAAAATTAATTATTTAAAGCTCATATTACTATAAAAATGAATTAAAAACAAACTATTTCAATTCCTATTGTTAAAAAATTATTTTGATTTATTATTATATTTGCTGAAATGTAGTAGCAATTAGCCCAATGGTGCCAGATATATAATTTGTAATCATGAACATTTATGAAACTCTTGTCAAAAAGTGAGAAGTTGTAAAAGAATACACATTAGGAGAAATAAATCTTTAAGTGGGGAGAAATAAGTCAAATCACTTCAGCAGAAGACAAGATAAAACACATCAAAACCTATTTGATTGCTCAATAAAATAGAGAGGAGTAGAAAATCAATTATTAGAAACAGCTTTAATTTATATCAAAAATAAAATGAGTTTTGATGTCTTTTAAACATGAACTTTAACAGTTAATTTTTAATAGCGTTTTTCTTTTCTCTTTGCTTTCTAATACACATACTTTTTTTTACTTAATTTTTGACAAAAATTTAAAATTACATATTAAAGGAAAACATGGTAAGTGTACAAAAATCCAGAAATATTTGGATACAGTTTGGATTAATGACAGAAAATAATTTTTAAAATAAATTAACTAATGGATTGAAAAAATTACATAACTAGTTTTATTTAATTTAAACATACAATAATGTGTATCAATTTGTAGTAAAGATATGTTCACAGTATTTAAAATAAAGTGAATTACTAATGGTGTAATGCTTAAAGGCATTTATTATAAAGCATTCTTAGTTATAGTTCATCTTTAAAATAATTTAAATTTTACCATTAACTTATGAATGTAGATCATACTAATAAATCCATGTTAACTTATAATTCTATAATAAACGCCTAATATAGCCCAACAGCTACATAACCTTTCAAATTCAGTGTGGCATGTCTAGTATAATTTTAATAATTGGAAGTAAACAATTAGATTTCCTAATGCTAAGAATGTTGCAGAGAAATCACTGAAGTTTGATGTGAAACCATAAAACACTTACAAGTCCAGAGGAAAGTACATAGAAGTCGTCACCAGAATATAATACTCCTGGTTGAGATGAAAATGTAGAAGTATGCCCAGGAATAACAGGAGATCCTAAAAGTCCAATCAAAAATATGAATTAATTGGAATAACAACTAAGGCACACAAGTGCAAAAATATCAAAAGACAACAATACTTCTTACATTATTAATAAACATACTTTTTAAAAAAATTATCACAAGCAATGAACAGCTAACATACATATCAGACATTTATCTCTAAATTTTTACAGTAATAGGCAGCAATTATTTCATTCAAAAGTTGGTAAATTTTTTCTATTACTACAAGTAGTTAAAAGAAGTAAAACTACCTTATACAGAGGGTTAATAAAATATCTTTGCTAATGCTAATACTTTTGCAGGCTTTTTTAGCATAAAAATTATGGAAAAAAATTGATTGATTCTTTAATAGACACATTCCCTAGCATTTTATTTCTAACTAATCCAAAGACATTCTGAATGATTGATTAACAGTGAAATCTTGCACATAATTTAGAAAACATTGGGACAAACTTGCCTTTGTGAAGGACTTCTTCAGTGAACTTCCCTACATTTTCAATGTATACAATCAAGAATATTATATAAAACAAGTCTGAACACGATTTCATATGAATCTTGAGGTACAAATATAGTGTTTCTTCAAGAGGCTAAGGTTATCCACAGTAAAGAGACCATAACTATAGTACGATCAGTTTATAAGGAAATTTCATGATAGCCATTTTGTCAAACACCCAGGAATCAGTTGAAGTACTATAGAATTCCTGAATGCTTCGCAAACATTATCAGAAATATATATAAAAATTATAATACACGAGTTATCCATGACAGTCAACAATCAGAATCCTTCAGAGTTGATTTTGGTGTTAGACTGGGTTGCATACTTTCTCAAATCTTTTTAATTGCTATAGATGGGATTATGAAGAGAGTATCAGAGAATAAAAGGGGTATAAGATGGAACCTAGCAGAATATCTTTCTGATCTTCATTTTGCAGGCGATTTATGTTTACTGACCAAGACATGCAAGCAAACACAAACATCTTAAATGTAGAGGCAAAGAAAGAGGGGCTTATTATCAATAAAAATGAAACTAAAATTATGAAAATTAATCCTAAACATTTAAGTGACATATTCTTAAAAAATAATAAACTAGAGGAAGTAAGCAGTTTTACATATTTTGGAAGAATAATTAACAACAAAGGAGGAACTGATGAAGACATTCTAAATAGATTAAACAAAGACCGGAGTAGTTACACTATTCTCAATAAATTCTGGAAAATCAAAAACAACAGAAATTAGAATTTTCAATTCGAATGTTAAATCTGTCCTACTAAATGGATTTCAGACGTGGCACTGCAATAAAAACGACATTCTTTTGACTTTTGAACAGTCGTGCCCACATCGGCATGGAGTTGCTTTTTAGAAAGCCCATATTAGAAATTACAAGCTTCAAAAAATGTCTTAAATAAAAGAAAAATAATATTTTAATGTTACAGAGCAACAAAGCTAATTCTTATTTTATTATTTTTTTTGGCAAAGATATAAAGAAAATATAAAAATATATAATCTTTTATGAGTGTTAAAAAATTTATAGCAATTTAATAACTATAAAAATACAAAAATTAAGAGTTTGGCAAAAAAATAAAAAGATATGTATCAATATGTACAGAAAAAATCACAATAACTAAATTAGTTTAAAATTTAATGAGGATGTAACACATTCCTTTAAGAAAATTTTCTTGAAAGAATGTCACTGGCTTGAATGTTCTCTCAAAAAGAGATCCTCTTGATTTTTAGATAACAAGGGGTTAATATTATAACTGAACTGTACATCTATTTAATTTGCTTAAGCTATTAAATATTAGCTATTAATACTCTTTAGTGCTCTTAATTACCACAACTTATTCGGAATAATTCTATTTGCCAATTGCAGAGTTTTTGTTTGCTTATAAAAAAAAAAGAAACATTTAAAAGAAAATATAAACATAAGCATTTAACAAACTATCAGTAACAGGGTTCATGCTCTACTATAAAAATAAAATTCAAGTACTTTTCAAGGACTTTTTAAGACTTATTATAAAATTCTCAAGGACTTAAATTTTAGTTAAAGATAGACTAAAATTTAACATTTTAAACTAAAATGTTTTGACGATAAATGTTAGTCGATAATAGCAGTACTGAAAAATAAGACTTCCATTGCTCTCTCTTGATTTCGGAAAGTGATCTAAGTA